GTAAGAGGGCCAAGTATCCATATTTTTAATAAGCATCCCTGCTGGTTCTGAGGAAGGTGGTTTAATGATCACACTTTGAGAAGCACAGCTGTAAAGCCTTCTTCAATACTGCTACAAAGATCTGTACACTTTCAAATTCTTCTCCAAAAACATATTCATCACGTGCCAGCATTCAAAAGTAGCAAATTGCCTTTGGAAAGATAGATTTGTTTGAAACCCTAATAGGAGAGAGTATTGTCTCTATTATTCTTTCTGCATATATGTTTTGTTTCACATTAAATGGGATTTTGTAAAATAGCTCAGAGGGCCTAAACACAATTTATTATGTGTTTCCATCAAAAAATGAATTGAAACTTCCAAAGAGCTAATTTTCAGACTTTTGAAAGCTAAGCAGTTTGTAATTTGAGAATTTCATGAGCCATTCCAACTGAGAAAATTCAATTATGAATGGTTTTAGATGATACCAAGGAATTATTGTTATTTCTGTTAGGAAATAATAGCATTTGGGTTATAAAAGAAAATTCATTTTTGAGATGAATACAAAACTATGTAGAGATGCAATTATGGGCTGTCCAGAATTTACATCAAAATACTTTAGCAAGGAAAATACATTTTTTTAAAAAAAAGATGGAGCAAACGAGGCAAAATCTTCATAATTGCTGAGTCTGGAAAAAATAAAATATGTACATGGAGTTTCTCTTCTTTTACTTCTATGTATACTAGAAAAATAAGTACGTGAAATTTCAGTTAATGTAGCAGCCACATAAGATTCCTATAGGACCATACATACAAGTTCAGCATGTCCAAATTGGAATAATTACTGACATCACAAAGGAATGATGTAAGAGATCCTTTAATTTGGGGACAGAGATGTACTTATCCTTTGAAAGTCTGTGACATGCTAGAGAAAAAAGAAATCAAAGCCAGCGCATACGGAAAACTATTTTTTTTTTATTATTTGAGAGAAATTTTAATTTTTCTGGATATACAAAAAAATGCTTAATTTAATAGAGAATAGACTAGAAACAGTGTGGTGAGGGACAGAACACATTGAGACATAGTATTCTTTTTGATCTCCCTTTATGGAAACTACGGAAGCATGGGCAAATCCCTTCTGGTTTTTGCACATTCTTTTTGTAATCCTGAAATGCAGGTGACATACTTACTTCCTTGTGTTCCCATGAAATAATATCCTGTGGACCGTAAACTACACACAAAAGCTGGTTATTCATAATACTAATACATCTTATTTGATAATAAAATCAAATATTTGATAGATTTCTCAGACCAATTTTAGGGAGAAGATGGAGAAGAAAGCTGGAAATAAAAAACGTAGTTACATTTCAGGAAGAAATAAAAAGAGGAATTTCACGTCCTTAGATGAATATTAACTAATGGCATTTGTCTCTCCTGTTCTTGTGTTACGAGGAGAGTTGTAACTAACAACACTGGTATACGTGTATTGTTGTATTACTCTTATTTACAGTCCTCGCTTTCTTTAGAAATTGTATCTTCCTTAAAAGGGACTGTCATAGCCTCAAAAAATCCAGATGTCGGGTGCTGGCTGTGCCATATAGAATTCCTTAAACTCAATTTACACAACTCTGAAAGAAGAACATTGAAATAGAGGATCTGAAAAATCTAACCCAACTCAAACATTTTTTCATAGTATTTTTTAAATCTCTAAAGCCTTCAGAGGCTTTATTCTTACTTAGCTGTACAAGATAGTGCTGGGAAGAAATTAACCAGAGTTACTACACAGGCTATGTCCAAGCACAAAAATTACCTAGGGGTCAACAAACAAGACAAGAATTGACTCTGCTGGAAGAGCTAAATAAAGATTTCTAATTCTTTGCTTTCCTTCAAACAATAGGTGTTTAGGGTTCGTTACTAATAGATGATTTCCTGATAAATTTCAATCAGAAATTAGGAAAAAAGAGATTAAGTTCATAATGGAAGTCACTTTTAATATAAGTAACTTTTCTGGACCATGTATGTAAGGGAAGGTATACTTTAAATCTGCTTTATTGGTAAACACAAACAAATATGCCTAGGAAATATGGCCAGCACTGTAAAAAGAGGATAAGGGAATAAAGAATATGGATTCTCTCTTATTCTAGCTTTCATTAAAAAATAATAGTACTGAAAGCCTACAGTATTGGATACTTTGGGACATTTTATTTGCGAAAAGTGATAATGCATTTTCACTTTTTTTCTGGCTTCAATGCACTTTACCACTCATGTGTTATGTAGGCATCTCAAATAATAAAATTTATGGCTTGTAAGATGATTTTTGACTGTGGCTTTGAAAGGCCAGATGAAATTTAACATTTTTAGTTTGATTCTCTCAAATTTTCTGGTCATTGATTTGTAAATAACAAGTACAATTATTTTCTTCATGTTTTTCTATGGGGAGAAAAGAATCGCTAAAATGACTGGAACAGTTAAACAGGACAAATGAGAGAAAATATAAAGAAAAGAGACATCTCCTATAACATTTCAACCATAAATAATATGCAGTAGAGCCTTTCACATATAGTCACTTACATCATCTCAACTGAAGGTTACAGATAAACTGGGCCAAAAACACCATCTTGTAAAAGAGTAATGTATGTCACAAAGGTACTGAGTTGGGGACTCACTTACGCGTAGAGTCATCTATTCTCAAAATCTTCCTCATTTCAAAGAACTGAGCATGTACAAAGAAACCAAAAGGATCAGTTCTCAATGCAAAGTCTAGGTGGGGGGAAAAGAAAACATAAAAGAAAGTAAAAAGCAGCCTCCCTCTTCCTCAACTTTGGGGTACCTTTGTCTTCATAGAGCTCTCAACACTTGGATCAAGGCAAAGATCAGCAAGAAGGGCCCTTCAAAGGCAGGGACAGGCTTCTGGGATTGATCTTTGAAAATCAGGCTGGGACTCTCTGCTCAGGAAACAGCACAGCTGTGTTGTGTGGGTACAGTGCTCTCTGAGAAGGTCATTGCGGACACAGGATACAAAGCCAGAGCAGGAAACCTACAGGGGTCAATAAAAACATCACCTTTTCCCCATTTCTAGTTTGCTCTTTTTCCCCCATTTTCCAATTTAAACCTGATCTGAAGAAATGTCATCAGTCTCTAAGATGTCTTAGCCTGGTCTGATGACTATCCACACTTAGGGCACATCCTGCCTTGACCCTGGCACTTTACCCACTGTTTCTCTTTCATACCCTATACTAACATAAGCATACCACTACCGATTCCCACTTTCTGTTCAAATCAAACCTGGCATCACCAACAAATCTCTTAGACACAGGCATTCTGCAAGTGTCCATTCATAGCATTAAAATGAGTCAGCCCAGATCTCTTTCCCTTTACTTCCCTTCTGGTTCAGGCTCTACCCCCTATCACAACCCCAAATCAAAGACCTATCTTTTATAAATACCTTGCATGGTATTATTGCTTAGCTAGGGACCTTATTGCCTAGGATGGTGTAAGAAACATAGAAGATCCTTAGTAATTTGGGAACTACCTATTAAATTCTTCCAGATGACCATTATGCCATCATTAGACATTTCCTTTTCTTACTCTCAATCCAGAATCTTTTTTTTTTTTCTACTACCATGGCACACAGTCAAATCTATCATCCTTATTTCCATCTTCTATCCAAACTGAAAAGTCAACTCTCAAAGAGCTTGGAAGTTTCGCTAGGGTTGTTTTTTCCTTGGGATCTGACTTTAAACCTCACCGCGACAATAAAGCTCTCAAGAGAGTCTCCTCTTTCTCTATCTCCCAAATAGTCACCCACTTAAGGGCTTATTTCTCCTTTTAAAAATGCAATTCAGAACATAGTTCTGCTTCTAGAAAAATTTACTCCCATTTTCTCCATTCTTACCCAAAAACATGATTACCAAGTGACTTCAAACCCCTCCCCCAAAAAGTATATACACAGGGCTTCCATCAAACATATTTCCTGCTGTTTCTATTATTGCTGTATATGATCAAGAATTCACCTGCTTTCTAAGGTATTTCCTCCATTCCTAAAAATGTAAACACACAAAGTTGAACCCATCAGAGGTAATAAAGGTGCAGAAATAAGAAAGAGAATAATAGATGTGGTAAAATGGCCAACTGTCTGGTCCTCTCTGTTCATTATCTTTCTCCCACTGCAAGTATCTGGCAATTTGAATGTATTGTTTCCACCCTTGTAAGAACAAGGGGCATTTCATCTAGTGAGGCTTCTCTTTGTTTTGCTGGGTCAAAACTGGGAGAACGTATATGGTAAGAGATGAATTATTCTAGGAGACATTGAATATTTTTCCCCTCAAAATGTATAACCATGATGTATTTTCTGTTAGCTGCTTGGTCCTTAAAATCTAATTTGCTTTAGTCAGTCCCAAACTAGAAACTTGAAAAAAGAAAATCATAAAAATACAGTCTTTTAATTATCAATTATGAGTAGTCTATCTTCTGTAGCCAGAGCCTCCAAACTGAGAAATCCACTGAAATGAAGACATGTTGGCCCTAAACTCCAAGTACTTTTTGCCACAGCATCACTATATCACTTTCCTTTAATAAATGAGGTTGGCTTTGGTCAAAAACATGAAAAATTAAAGAAAGTATTAAAGGAACCAGTCAGTCGCCTTCTCACACCACTACCACTGCCTGCCCAGCCCCAACCTCCGCCCAATTCCTGGCTTAAAAATGATCCCACCTCCTACCTACCTGGTGAACAACAATTGCTCCCAACCACTGTAATTTATATATATATATATATATATATATATATATATATTCTCTCTTTTAATCCATCCCAGGACCCTTGGAGGTAGGTTTTAACATTCCCATTATATGCCTTAAAAAAATAAGGCCCAAAATGAAAATAATGCCAAAGGACCATGTCAGTCAACAGAGTTGTTTAACAGAGCCCATTCTAATTCTTTGTTAACACTGTAAATTATGGAAAATCTTAAAGACTGTATTGATTCAGAACTCCTAAGATTTTAAAATTTTAAAATGCATACCTGTTTTTTCCTTGAATTTTCTTTGGAAAACAGGTCTGCTGACAACACAGATGTAAATGGAGAACAGCATAGCTCAGGAAAAGGGTTTGGAATAGATGGCATTTCCAGAACATCAAGATCTTTCTTTTTTCTCCTACAGTAAGAGAACATAGGATGTAATTTACATAAAACAGAATGTAAAATATAATTGCTGACAGGATTAAAAAGTGTGCTAAGGCCAACATTACCACTCTGTGGCAAAGCTCATATTATATAAAGTATACAGAAAAGGTCTGTGATGTACTCTCTATGGGTCAAAATATAGTATGTTAATTAGAGATGAAAAAATCTCTTATAATATTTCTCTCTCTCTCTCCTTTTCTCTCTCTTTTGCCTTTAAATCACCAGGCATGGAAACTCTATCCCTTTTGATAATTTGACTATACCATTACTAATGCAAACATCACCCTGAGGAGTCAGACATTGTTAGGCTTCCATTATATTGACAAAGTCTCTAAGTTACATTTAGTGCATTCATCCTTATGATATTTTACTAATCACTTTTGGAAGTTATGGTTTATTAATTATAGCTGTGGTTCATGTCACTTCAAATTTCATTCACAATGTTGCCCACACACAGTCCGTTGGTATTTCAAGTGCTTATAGATATTAAACAGTGTTTTGAGGAGGTAAGTTAATAGAACTTGATAGTATAAGCCACTCTAGTCCACTGGAGAGTAATTTTAACTTCACTGAAATTGGAGCGCTTTGAAAATCAGGAAAAAAAAATGTAACATTTAAATGTATAAATATAAAGAACTACAGATTTGTGTATTGTTGTAACCATTTTTTTTTTTTTTTTCCAAAAGTATGTGCAACTCTGAAGGCACTTAGTGCTGAATGCTATGGAGATTGGGAAACCTTTTAAAACCTCTATTCTTTCCTGTTGAACAGCAAGACTGCTCAAATGTCAATCCATGCTTTGCTTCTACAGGGTCGCTGTAAGACTCTATGTGGGAGGTGAATACATTCATGCTACGATTTTTTTTTAATATATAAAATAAAATAGAGTTTCCTTTGTGAAAATGCAGGGCCACGAAGGAGCAGAAGGTGATCAACCTGCAGCCTGGCCTCCTAGTTTCACACCGATGGGCAGAGGCGAAAGAGATGAGAGAGCTCTCAATGAAACGGTGATGCTATTTATAAGGCACTGTGAGATCGCAATGTCCTGCTGGTCCGGTAGGAGACAGCTAAGGGGATTGTCTTCAGAGACTTTTACAAACTTGGCCCAGCTCTGGGCACATGGCTCACCCCCTAGGACCGCCTCCTCACCCCCTCGCCGGCTGCCCAGCCAGGACACTCCCCCGCGCCCTCCAGGGCTGCCTACCTGTCTGCAGGACAGCCGCGGGTCCTGTCCGGAGGGGGCAGGAGCGTTCGCGCGTGCAGCCAGGGGGCCGGAGCCAGGTCGTGGGCGTCGCCCCTCCCCTGGGCAGCGCCACACACCTGGGCGGCCAGCGGCGAGTCCCGGGCAGCCGCCCTGCCCGCGGCGCTCTGCCCATCTTGCAGGGAAGTGGTCATTGTCGCCGGCCGGGGGGCTCGGGCGTCATGGGAGACCCGGCGCGTGGGGAGAACGGGATCGCGCGGCGGGAGGCGAGGTGCCGGCTAGGCAGCCCGAGCGCTCTGCAGGTGCGGTGGCCTCGCAGCCTGCGCTCGGGGCCCCGGCCGCGGAGACGCGCGGCCGAGCAGTGTGCGAGGCGGCGGGGGAGGGGAGGGGGCGGACGAGGAGGGTGGGGAGAGGGGAGGAGCGGCCGGTGGGTGGGGGCCGCGGGCGGCGGGGCGAGGCGCGGAGGGGGCGGGGAGAGCGCGCGAGCCGCAGGCCGGCCCCGCGCGTGGCCCGGGACGCCCGGGGCCGCTGGCCTCGCTCCCGGGCCGTCCGCTCCGGGACGCACGGCAGGGACCGCCGCCTCCCCAGGTAGGCTTCGGGGTGCGAGGCTAAGCCCAGGGTCTGGGCGGCCCCGGCGGCGCCGGAGGCGGGGAGCAGCTGAGGGGGTGCTCCCGCTGGGCTTGCCGGGAGGACCGCTGGCGGGACAGGGGTCTGCGCAGCCCTGACCCTCCCACTCTTGCATTCTTCCTGCTCAGCGACCTGAGATCACCTAAGCTGTGGCTGGGCCGCCATGACAATCCCCACCGGGCCAGGAGGCCAGGAGGCCAGGAGGCCAGGGTACCAGGGGGCTGGGTTTGCCCCAGTCCTTCCCCCACGTGCTGCTTCTTCCATCCACTCCGCAGCCAAAGACTGGGGAGCTGCAGGGGAACGATGGGGGAACAAGGAGTCCAATCATTATAGAAACTACCGAGATGTTGAGAATTCCCAGTAAAGCATGAGTAAACCTGAAGGTGTCTGAAATTAGAAAGACTATTGGTTTTATTGTAATGAGAGAAGCTTACATTAATGAATTCTATGGTGCCTTATGCTACCTATTCCATCCTCTCAACAGCTCCATAAATTAGATGTTTACCTCATTTTACACAAAAGGAAACTGGGGCTCAAAGCCATCGCCTGTAATCCCAGCACTTTGGGAGGCCAAGGCAGGCAGATCAGCTTGGGTCAGGAGTTCGAGACCAGGCTGGCCAACTTGGTGAAACCCCGTCTCTACTAAAACTACAAAAAATAGCCGGGCAGGGTGACTGGTGCCTATAATCCCAGTTACTGTGGAGGCTGAGGCAGGAGAATCACTTGAACCTGGGAGGCGGAGGTCACAGTGAGCCGAGATCGCACCATTGCACTCCAACCTGGGCAACAGAGCCAGACTCTTGTCTCCAAACAAAGATACAAAACAAAACAACAACAACAAAAACGTAGCACTAGTAGCTGGTGTAGTCAATATTCCAACCCAGAAGCTTCGTTCTCAAAAACCCAGACTGTTTGAAATGGTAAAGGCAGTATTACGCTCACGCTGTGACATGCAGCAGCCCTACTCTGAAATGCTGGGTAATCCTGTTTCTGCTGTTCCAATAAGTGTGCCTGCCCCAGGGCACTCTTGAGGATTTCCAAATGTTTAACAGGGTCTTTGTTCTTTGACCAAGTTAGGTAATATCTGTCCCTGGCATCTGCTTCAGCAGATTTTCTTAATTTCAACAACCTCTGCCCAGGGAAAGGTAAATATTGCCTCCAGAAGCAAGCAGCAGCTCCCCTCCCCCATCTCAGTGCATCCTCTCCCACCGAGGCACCAACCACTAGACAACCCAGGGGTCACTACTCCCAGCCTGCCAGGAGACCTGGGCACTCGTGAAGACAGATCTTTGAGTCAGCGTTCAGGGAATCCAAATTCTTCATTTTTCTAGTGTCAAAATTAAGGCCCAGAAGTGTACCTGGGTCACAGTGGGTGTGCTCTCTGGCATCCTTTATACCAGGAGTCCCCAACCCCTGGGCCCTGGACCACACCATACCAGTCCATGGACAGTGAGGAACCAGGCCGCAGAGCAGGAGGTGAGCAGCTAGTGAGCCAGCATCACCCCAAGCTCCCTGCCTTCTGTCAGATCAGCTGGGCATTAGATTCTCATAGATGAGAGAACCCTATTGTGAACTGTGCCTGCCGGGGATCTAGGTTGCTCCTTGTGAGATGATGATCTGATGATGATGTGATGATCTGAGGTGGAACAGTTTCATCCTGAAACCATCACTCCCACTTCCCATTCGTGGAAAAATTTTCTTCCATGAAACCGGTCCCTGGTGCCAAAAAGGTTGAGGACACTGAAGTTTATACAATGCTTTGGCCAAACCAGGACAAAATGATTCTCCTTCTCAGGAAAAAAAAAAGTAATAATACTAATGTTGGTAATTACTAACATTTTTTGACACGTGTGTCAGACAAAGCCCTCACTCACATCCGGTTCTCTGAATTACAGATTCTATGCTTGGGTTTAAGTGACTTTAATTTAAAAGCATACAGATATACTGACATTATCCCAGCAAAAACCAAATGAGGTATGCAGTTGCAAATAACTTGAACTAAAGAAACAAAGAAATAACTAAACTTTAATCATTATCATCATTAACCCAATTTTATCTAGAACTCTTGCAGGCAGCCATTTCTTTTTCTTCTTTTTTGTTTTGTTTTGAGACAGAATCTTGCTCTGTCACCCATGCTGGAGTGCAGTGGCACGATCTCCGCTCACCACAACCTCCGTCTCCTGGGTTTAAGTGATTCTCCTGCCTCAGCCTCCTGAGTAGCTGGGACTATAGGTGCATACTGCCTGGCTAATTTTTTGTATTTTTAGTAGAGACGGGGTTTCACCATTCTGGCCAGGCTGGTCTTGTACTCCTGACCTCATGATCTGCCCGCCTCAGCCTCCCAAAGTGCTGGGATTACAGGTGTGAGCCACCTTGCCCAGCCATGTCTTCTAAGAATATTGTAGTTTGAGCATTCTCACAGCACACAAATCAGTGGCTGAAGTTTATACCATCTCCACTCCCAACAACTCTCTCTCTCTCTCTCTCTCTCTCTCTCTCTCTCTTTCTGTCTCTCTTTCTCACACAAAAGACACACACCAGGAGAGAGAGAGCACACTCTTGATTTTTTTTTTCTTTGAGAAAGGGATAAGTGGAAACTGCATATGTCTTTGGAATTGCTGGAAATGCTATTTCCCAGTAGTGTATCCTGCTCCACATCCTAGCATACTTGCCATAATTTCTTAACCTCAAGAAAGAGTATTCCTTTGTTGGAAAGAGATCTCTATTGTGTCTGCCCTTTCCAGGCATTCTCTTGTTTAGTGGAAACCCAGGGAGGGTCAATTTGCAGGCTTTATGCTCATCCTCTAACCCCAAATGGGTGGAAATTGTAATCCCTGAGATTACCAGGGGCAAAAAGAAAGAGATCTCTGATAATGAGAACCTAAATAATTTTGTCTTGTAGATTGGGAGTAAATATTAAATTTACTCCCAATGGTACCTTGAGAATTTGTACCAAGGGTTACTAGAATTAGCTCACTCACATTTTTGAAGCAAGTCAATAAAGGAACGAGGTTTTTTTGTTTGTTTGTTTGTTTGTTTTTATCCAAGTGGTTTACAAGAAATGATTCTAAATAAAGAACTATGCAGTATAAAAGGTACAGAATACTGTCAGACCTGCTACAGCCTAAGATAATAGAGGTGTTTTTCTATAAAAGAGAAGTTTTAAAAGAGAAATTTTCATCCTCATAATGGACAGACTTCTGAAACAATAAAGCAGATATGTGAGTATTAAAGAGTGATGTCAGTCCTCTGGGTGGCTGTCCTCCCTTTGGACTTAAGCCTGTAAAATTGCAGAGAAGTAGCTTGTCCCCTGGCCCCTTTCCTCTGTGGACATTTCCTACTCTTTGCACCTCCCTTTCCTGTTTTTCCTCAGGAATCTCAGTCTTTCTACATCTCCTGGAAAATATGTCCTCATTGCATTCTTCTCTCCCTCTGCTCATCAATCAAATTTCTTAACCCTTTGTATTGTGAAAGATAAAACACATACAGAAAAGAAGTTCTTAAATGAAAATGTATAATGACTTATCACAAGGAAAACACTGATGTTAGGTCATAAACTCTTGTCAGCCCTCCAGAAACTCTTCTCTTACTCCTTCCTCCAATTCAAATTTCCTTCCTTCCTTCCTTCCTTCCTTCCTTCTTTCCTTCCTTCCTTTCTTTCCTTTCTTTCATTCTTTCATTCTTCCTTCCTTCCTTCCTTCCTTCTTTCCTTCCTTCCTTCCTTCCCTCCTTCCTTCCCTTCTTCTCTCCCTTCTTTCTTTCCCTTTCTTTCTCTCTCTCTCTTTCTTTCTTTTCTTTCTTTTTCTTTTTTTTTTTCTTTCTTTCTTTTTTTTTTTTTTTTTTTTTTTTTTTTGGCAGTGTCTGTCACCCAGGCTGGAGTGAAGTGGCAGGAAAACAGCTCACTGCAGCCTTGACCTCCCAGGTTCAAGCAGTCCAGCCACTTCAACCTCCCAAGTAGCTGGGACCACAGGCACATGCCATCACATTCAACTCTTTACCTTTAGTACAAAAAAGTTCTCACCATGTTGCCCAAGTTGGTCTCAAGCTCCTGGGCTCAAGCAATCCTCCCTCTCTGGCCTCCTGAAGTACTGAGATTACAGGCTTGAGCCACCACTCCCAGCCCAATACAAATTTTCAGAGTAATCAAATCCTTCTTTTTGTTTATAGTTTAACACCTAATTATCCATCCCTAAACAAAATAAATTATGTTTTTCAGGTTCACTCTTCATATAGATGGAGTCACTCTTCATATAGATGGAACCGAAAAGATGGCCCTTTTATGTTTGACTTGGTTTCCTTAATATTGCATTTGTGGTATTCTTCCATGCTGTTGCAGGTAGCTTTAGTTTTTCTGTTTGTTTTTCTATTGTATGTAATACCACAATTTACTTATCCATTTTACTGCAGAAAGTTATCTAGGCTGTTTCCAGCTTTGACTATTATTAACACTGCTACAAAGTGCATTTTACACTTTCCTTGGTGCACATAGGCAGGCACTTCCAGGAGGTACACGTGGAGGAGTGTCGTTGTGAGGTCATGGTATATAGATACATGTTCTGTTTTAGTAGATACTGCAGTTTCCCAAGTTGTTTGTATTGATTTTCATTACTACTAGGAATGCATAAGCTTCCCCAGTTCTTCACATCCTTGACAATAAGTATATCAGAATTGTCACAGTAGGCATTCTGGTGAATGCATAGCAGTATCTCACTGTGGAATGAGACTTTTGTTTATGACTAATGAGTTTGAGCACTTTTTTCTGTGATTAGTTGCCATTTGGACATCCTCTTTTTGTTTTTCTTTTTTGAGAATTGGAGTCTCATTCTGTTGCCCAGGCTGGAGTGCAGTGACACAATCATGGCTCAGCTCATTGCAATCTCAACCTCCTGGGCTCAAGCAATCCTCCCTCCTTGGGCTCCCAAAGTGCCAAAATTACAGGCATGAGCACATGCCTGTAGTGTCCAGAGCCTGGCCTGGACATCCTCTTTTGATGGACCAACTCAAATCTCTTGCCCATTCTTATGATGAGTTGTCTTTTTCTTACTCGCTTATGAGTTATTTTTAAGTTCTGGATTTTTTTTTATGGTGTGAAGGTATATAGGT